AACAAATAAAATATATAATTAATTACCAAATATTAATTTATAAATTTGCTTTTAAGAAGATATGTCACAGAAAAGTTAATTTAACATTCATTATTTAGTCTTAATATTTGTATTTAAAATATATAGTAGGAATTACAGATGGGAAGTTAAACATATTTGAAATAATTGTAGTAATTAGTTAGTGCTCTTAAATTTTATAAAATATTCTTAACAAGTAGATTTTTGCGTTTTAGCTCAGTAATTAATTTTAGGAATATTTGTAATATCTTTAATTATTCTCTATTCCTATTAGTTTTTTTGCTAGCTCATATTATTTAGGTATATATATTGCATCCACCGTATAAGTGCATTTATACTTACTTAAATAACTTTTTAATATATAGAGTATTTTTAAATTTATTTAAATTGTAAAAAAATAAATACAAATTACATAAAAATATATCAAACACTATTATATAAATTTATTTAATATTATATTAATTTCTATTAGAAATATACATAGTAATTGCTTCAATAAATTTATAAACCAAACTAAATACCTCTTTTTTTCTAAAGGATATTAAGAAAAGAGATAAAAAATTAATTTTCATTTATTTGATCTTTTTATTATTAAAAATTCAAAATATTATTGTAATTAATAGTTTATTATTCAAGGTCAAAGAAGATTTATTTTAATCAATCTCTTCATTTTAAGAAATTATATTCTTGATTTTTACTTTTAGATAGGACAACAACTTTTAATTATTTTTTATTTAATAACAAATTTATTTTTAGAAACATTAAATAAATAAATAAATTAATTATTGAAGCAAATTGAAAGTATAAAAAAAAACAATAATTTTTAAAATAATTTTACTTATTCTTTTAAAAATATTTGTTATTTTTTTAAAAATTATAATATAAACAATGAACTATTTTCATCAAAAATAAAATAAAAGAAATAAAGTTTGAATTCACTAACTTTTACTAACTAAAAATTTAGTAAAAATAAGTAAATTATTTTTACCTAATCATCATATTCAGGACTAAGAGTTTTTCACATGTTAATAAACCAGAACATAAATTTTGTAAAGCCTTTGAGCATAAATCATTCCTCCTTTTAATATTAATGAAAACTGAAATTAAAAAATTTAATGAATAATCAATCAATCATAAAAAAGAATAATTTTCAAATTAATTTTTAATTTTTAAAATAGGCAAAAAATAGCTGAATGAGTAAAATGTGAGAATTAAAAAAAATAAAACAAACAAATTATATTTCAATTATATAATTTTTTATAAATAAAAATTGAAATTATAGCTAAATAAAAGTTTTCTACCTAAGATTGAGGCACAATTATAAGAGATTAGGACACTTTGCTAATGATAAACCTAAATTTTATAAATTTTTTGCTCCGATTTTGTTGTTCCTATAAATATTTTCAATTAATATTATTATGTAAAATGAAAAATTTTGTGCAAGTAAATATTTAAAAAAGATAAACATATAAATTAAAAAATAAAATTGAGTAGAAAAAATATTTAAATACAAAAATAAACAATTAAAATCAAACCAGCTAAAAAGAAAAAAATTTAAAAAATATAATTTAAACTATTTCTAATTTTTAACTTTTGCTTAATTAAGTAAATAACTCAAAGTATTCATAAAAATAAAATATTTTTACTCTAAGTCTAGTTTCAAACACGAAAGATTTTAGAATTTTGCTAAAGATTAACACAATTTTGTTGTTCCCTATGTGTCAATTTAATTTTTGCTTTTAAGTTTAGAAGAAAAAAAATATTTATTTAAATATAAATAGTAAAAAAATAAGTATAAAAATAGAAATTTTAACTATTAATAAGTACCTAAAAAAATTTATTTAAAATAAAAATAAAAAAAAGTAAATCAAAGATAAGTTATAAATTTTTAAAGATTTATTTATGTTTTCATGCTTTTTCATTTTTGGGATTAGTAACAAAAAAGATAAAAGTAAAAAATAAATGTTTTTACCTCAGCTTAAGAGATAATTATTTAAGACTATCACACTTTGATAAACTTGAACCTAAATCTATTACAAACTTATTTGATAACTTACTATGCCTTTAAACAAATATTTATTTATGAGAAAATTTGTTAAATAAAAAATTGATTTTGAAATTAAATAATTGAAAATTAAATAACAAATTTAAAGAAATAAACGAACGAGCATAATAACCTAATAATTATTCAGCCAGGCCAGATAATATATTTAACAAAATATTTTAATTTATGCTTGTAATTATTATTTTTATTTGTTTAATTTAATAAAATAAAATTTTTTTCAAATAGAAAATCTATTAATTACGAAAGGTAGAGAGTTAAATTTGAAAGATTAGAGAATCTTGTTAAAGAAGAACCTAAATCTAATGCATTTTATTCAATAGGTTAGCCATTACTTATATATTTTTAAACAATTTGTTTTTAAATTAAAATGAATAATAAACTAACTAAAAAATACAAAATACTAAAAATTAGAAAATAAATTATTTTACGAGACTATGAGTGATAGATTTGATATATTAGAGCACTTTGCTAAATTAAAACATAAATCTGATACACCTTTTTTACCAATATTTTTGCCTCTTTTTATTTTTAAATAAAATCAAAAATGTTTAAATGCAAATTTAAAAAGATAAATTTCAAAACAAATTAAGGCAAAAACTAAATTAAATATAAAAAATATGAATAATCAAATGAGTGAATTTGGAAATTAATTTTTGATTAAAAATGCATACAAAAATAATATAGAGATTATTCCTGATTCTGCCCTATCAATTATCCAAAAAAGTAAATAACTCAAAACATTATAAATAATTTACTGCAAACTCTTAGTTATTATAGTTAAAATATAATGATAGATTTTATAAAAATTAATGAAGTAAAATCTTGATTTTCATCACTATTAGCGATGGTAATCAAGCCTATGATATACAAGAGTTTACAGTAAATAATATTACTAGATGCTAAGTTTGAGATTTTAGAGGTTAGCACATTTTCCTAAAGCAGAACCCAATTCTAATGCTCCCTATGCATAAATCAAATTATCACTTTTTATATTTTAAGAAAACAAACGTATTTATTAGAAAAAGTTTATAGGGTTTAAAAATAAAAGATGAAAATTTATTTTAATTGTTAAGTGAAGAAAATTAAAAATTAATTTTAAATAAATTTTAATCTAAAAATTATTTTATAACAATCTGATTTGTTATTAATTTTTATTTGATTTAGCAAAAAAAATATTCATAAAAATAAAACAACAATTTTTTACTCTAGATCAAGTTCTAAAGTTGAGAGACAATTGCATTTTGCTAAGGCAGAACCTAATTAGAATAAACCTTTGTCACCTATTTCTATTGCACTTTTAATATTTATTATTATAAATTTTAAATAAAAAAAGCTTTAGAGAAAAAATAAAATAAAAGAATAAGTTAAAAGATGTAAACTAAGTGTTGAAAAATATAAAAATAAATAATTAATTAAATTTTAGACAAAAGTGTAATAAAAACTAAAAATTTATTCTAAAAAATATGTTTTTTTTATTTTAATAAATTCTGCAATATCTTATCTAAAATAAATTCACAAAATTTTTAAAAATTAATAAACTATTATTTTACCACAGATTTAAAGTCAAATTTTTGAGATTAGTGAACTCAGTTAAAGCTGAACTTAATTTTGATGCACCATCATCACCTATTTCATTTTCACTATTTATTTTATGAATTATTTGCAAATTTGAGTCTAAAAATTTTGTTTTATTAAAATTTAGAAACAAATCGTACTTTTTAGAAAATATATTTGTAATGATCTAAAGATCAAGTATTTATTTTTTATGATTAAAATTAATCATTACTTTGAAAAATAAATAAATAAATAAATAAATAAATAAATAAATAAATAAATAAGCTTTTACTTGAGGCAGAGTTCTAAATTAGAGAGATTAGAACACTTAGATAGAGTAGATACTATGTTTAATGCACCTTATGGACCAATTAAAACCTATCTTTTATTTTTAAAGAAAAATCTTTTTACTAAAAATTAGAGATAGAGTTATATTATTTTAATTAATTAATTTTAACTTTTTTAAGAAAATAAAAAAAATAAATAATTTATAAAAGAAAATTATTTTTTTTATACGAAATGTCTAGAGTTAAAGTTGATAGATTAGTGCATTTTGATAAACTAGAACCTAAATCATAGGCACAATTGTCATCTATTAGATTACTCCTATGAAAAATTTTAGTTATAAAAAGCTATGTAAAAAATATGAAAAAAAGGATGATGAAATTTTTTTAATTGTAGATTTAATTTGAAATTAAAAAAATTAAGAGAAGCAAAATTTTTATGCAAAAAATTATTGAAGAAATAAATTAATTATTATCATTCTTACTTATCAACAAAAAAAATTTTATTTTATTTAAATAAATGATCTAATTTTACCTAAGGTTGATTGCCAAAGTTGTGAGGCTAGTACATTTAGTTAAAGATGAACATATTTTAGATGTACCTTGTGCACTAATTTAACAATCCCTTTAAATATTTAAAGAAAGCATTTTTGTTTTCATCAATAGAAGAAAAATATCTAAAAATAAAATAAGCCAATCAAAAAGTAGAAATAATAAATAAATTTATAAATAAATGTAAAAATTTAATATTGAAAATAATAAGTAATATAAATATTACACATTAATATTTTCATATAGAAATAAAGAACAAAAAATATTTAAAAATTTTAATTTTATTTTTTTACTAGAGCTCAAGAATCAAAGTTAAGAGGTTAGAACACTTTGCTAGAGCAGAACCTAAATTTGATGCATCTTCATCATTAATTGATTTAGAACTTTTATATTTTTGAGAAAGTTTGTTAGTTTTTATAGAAAATATATAAACTAAATAAAAACCAATAAATAATTTGGTAGAGTAAATAAATTTAATAAGTAAAATAGAATAAAAAGCAGTGAGCAATACAAAAAGCATAATTTTTGTTTATTTGAATTAATTTTATCAAAAAAATTAATTCACATTTTATAAAAGTTTTGTTACTTTTACGATAATATGATTTCAAGATCTGTGTGAGACATTAATGAAGATTTCAAAAACTTTATTTTTAAAAAGATGAATTTAATAAAGCAAATGAGCTAATGATTATTCACTTTTTTTAAATTCTCAAAACATTTTGATTTGGATGATATCATTTTTACTAATTTTTTTTAGAAATGCAAATTTTATGAAAAATTAAATAAAAATTTAGTTTTAAAATAAAATTAAAAAAATTTTCTATATAGAGGCTCAAAATAAATTAATCAATCAAATTTAATTTCAATAAAAATCATTAAAAATATAAAAATAATTTTTAAATTTTTTTATGTTTAATAAATAATTTATTTACTTACAAAAATAAATGTGAATGATATTTATAAATATAAAATCAATAATAACATCTATAAATCTATTTATATTTTAGGTTTAAAACAATTTTTCAAAAAATTTTTTTAATAAAATAAATAATATTGTTCAAACATTATATATTTATTTATCCTTTAATTTCTTGAAATTAAAGACAACTAATCTTTATAATTTAAGACACCTGCCTATTAATTTGAATTCTTCTGATTTATTACTTGAGCTAAAAATTTTAAAATAAATTTGTGTAAATTTTAAATAAATATCAAAACAGAATAAACTTTTAAATTAAAAATTATTCTTTAAATTAATAAATAAAATAATATTAGTGGAATAAAAAAGATAAAAAAATAAATCAAATAAATTCAAATAGCTTTTTTGTTTTATACTCATTTTTATAGTTTAAAATATCACAATCCAAAACAAATAAACTGTTTTTACTTAAGGTTAAGTGTCAAATTTGAGAGATTAATGCATTTTGCTAAACCAGAAACTAAGCCTGATGCACCTTCATCACGAAATGAATTGTAACTTTTTAAATATTGAAGAAAAAATATATCATTAAATAGTTAATTAGA